GGAAAAATAGGTCCGTGGAACAGACTAGCTAACAGAGCAGGAAACCCGGTATATTAGGAGGCTCCTATCTGATGAATGCATCAGAAATAGGAAAATAAATGGGTGTAAAATAAAAGGTGTTCTGTATGACCTCACAGCACACACTGATATCAATTTAATTCTGAGTCAAGAATTAAACAGAAAAAGAAAATCATTTTAAAATAGGAGGCAGTTCAAATGACTGTTTCTGACTTCTGGACTGGGGAGAGCTTTGAAAGCAGAGAAACAGTGGAATGGATCTTAGGGTGAGACTTAACAGATGTATCTTTAATACTGATTATTAAACGCTTAACATGTAAGCCTTCTGTATGTTAAAAATCATAAAGAATACTACAATTTAAAGAGCAAGATGAGAACATGCTTTTCAGAAAATAGTAACGAAGGTGACGTTCCCTTACCAGTCACTCACGTGAGCAGACTGTCTGCCTCCTTCTCTTCCCCCGTGAACTGGAGGCCCAGGCATCCCTGGACACTCTGCCCACCCATTGATTTGTGTCTGATTTTTTTCATTGAACCCAGAGGCCACCTACTGCGTTCCTCACTCCTGTCCACCGGGACAGGTGAACGTCAGAAGGGTGTCCACCAGCTCTGGTCACCTGCAGCCTCTGGGCCCACGTGCCCTTCTCCCCGCAGCACACTGTAATGCTAGGTCCAAACTCCTAGCCAAGGCCACCTGTTCACGGTGCGTTGCATCCCATCCCTCCTGGGCCTCCCATGCCCTCCAAGGGCATCACGCCAGCATCATCTGTCATCCCTCCAGCAATGGCTCCCACCAGCAAGCAAACATGCTGTTATCCTAAAAACAAAATCAAGCACAAGCTCTCTTTTTTTCCCATTTCCCTCTCTGGCTGCTGTCCATTTGTCTCCTCTGATTGTATGTATCTTTTTCACTCAGCCTTGTTTGAAACTAGCCCACATGCTACAAAGCAGACTACAGGCCTCGTGAGGACAGCTTCAGTATAACTAGTCGTCCTTTTACGACCACCAGGACAGGTGTTCAGATCCCATGGGAAAGGGAACCAGAGGTGCTTGTAAATTGTTTTTAACTAGAGTTTACAAAGATGGCCCTTCGCTTTCTAAAAGGAATCTCCCCTGGGAACCTGGCCATTTCTTGCTCTTGGAGGATTTCCATCCATGACGGTCGGCGCCTGGCTTTTCATTCTCACTCCTCCTCTGGCCCCTCCCCTGTTCCTCACCTCGGCACCGGCACCCACTCACCTTCCGGAGTTCTCACAGCTCTGGTGTGCCATGACCTTTGCCCTCAGGGGTCCTCAGAGCTCCCAAACGGCTGCCCACCCGGGGCACCTTTCTTGATCCCCTAGACGAGCAGCAGTTTCTTCTCCGCCTGCAACTGCTCGGGCACCATGGTCACCCACCCGCCCACTAATGCATCTGTGCCTTTCCTGTGTGTTGCCATGGTGTTTAATGTGTCTGTTCTGCTCCCTTAACCCTGTTCCCAACCACGAGCATCTTCACACCTTTGGTTATTTTAGAAGGTGATTCTTAGAGGATGATGCACTGGTTTGCTCGGGCCTCATAACAAGGTACCACAGACATGGTGACTTAAACAGCAGGTGCCCCTTCTCTTGCAGCCGTGGAGGCTGGACGTCCAAGCTCAAGCTGGTCCCTCCCGAGGCCTCTCTCCCGGGTGTGCAGATGGCCGTCTCCTCCCAGTGTCCCCAGTTGTCGTCCCTGCGTCCTGATCTCCTCTTCTCAAAAGGACCCAGTCAGATTGAATTAGCACCCACCCTAGTGACCTCATTTTACCTTCGTCAGCCCTTTAAAGGTCCTACCTCCAAATAGGGTCCCATTCCGAGGTCCTGGGGGTCAGGACTATACATCCGAGGGCACACAGTTCGGTCTGTAACAGGTGGTGACGGAGAGCATGAACCACCACCACTGGCTCAGGAGCTGCTATGTGCTGGGCACTGAGCCGTTTTGAACCATTGTTTCGTTTCATCCTCACGATGACCCAACCCACCCGTCGCATCGCGTGCACGCTCTCCATCACGTGACGACCGGATGCTTCCCAGGGTCGTCATGACACTGATCTCTTTCCTCTCCCACAGGACGTACACCTTCAGTGTAGCCCCAGACCCGAGCTCCGGGAAGGACGGTGAAGCCAGCAGCAGACGGAACGGAGAGCCTCAGCGTCTGCCCGCGTCCCAGAGCAGCAGCCTGCAGTCCCTACAGGTGACGGGGCCCTGAGGTCAAATGAGCCGCTCACAGCCCCCCTCCGTGTCAACTCCGGGTAGACTCGGCTTCTCAGGGGCAGCTTTCATTCAGACACTGCTGCCCTGAGCTCAGACCCAGGTGGGCCAGCAAGGGGCCCATCTCTCTGCTACCAAGTCCCCCTGCTCCGTCCACCCCGGGCAGAGGGTGACCCCCGCACACACGCACACACTGTGAGCCTGACCAGTGTCATCATAGCACTAGGTCACGGGGCAGGAAAGGGGCAGGGACCCATCCCTCCTGGGGGGCCACACTCTCACCCTAACTCTGCCATCGGCCAGCTGGCTCCTTCCCCAAGAGCCCACCGGCCCCCAGAGCTTGCCTCCAGTTCAGACAAGAACTGAGTGCAGGGCAGGGGACACTGGGACCCTGGGAGGACAATGGGTGACCTCTTTAGCTGGGCCTTCAGGGGGTGAACGGCCTGGGTGGACAAGCTGCAGACTGGGAGCCAGAGGCCTGCCGGCCCCAAACCGATGAAAATGGGGCCCCCGCCCCAGACTCTCTGGGAATGAGGGGGGCCGGCCTGGACCGGGGCCGTGGGCTCCCTGAGGCTGAGCCCCGCTTTCAGATTGAAGGAGGGGAGGAGCTGGCTTGCAATGCTCAGCCCCGAGCTCGAGCTCGGCCTCTGTCTGAACACTGGTGCTTTAAATGGATGAGAACCTGACACCGTCCCGTCCCCGATAACAGAACCCTCCCCTGGCCCGAGGTCACTCCATCCAGGTAGTGAGAAAGGAAAACTGGCCATCGTTTTGCTATGGTTGAGTAGTGGGCTGAAAAACGTCTCCAGAGAGGTAAGGTCCCAATTCCTGCCACCTATTATGAGGAAAATGGTCTTTGCATGTGGGACTGAGATGAGGATCTTGATGCGGAGATTATCCTGCAGGCCCTAAACCTAATCACAGGAAACAGGAGATGTGATGCTCATAGACGAGGAGACAGGCACACAGGGAGAAGCCACGTGACCTCGGAGCAGAGACTGGAGCCACACGGCCACACATCAAGGATGCTGGGGCCACCGGGACCCTCCCCTAGAGCCTCTGAGGGGGCCTGGCCCTGCGACACCTTGATTTTGAACTTCCGGCCTTCAGAACTGGAAGAGAATAAGCTTCCTTTGTTTTCAGCCCCCGCAGTTGGTGCTTTGTTACAGCAGTCCCAGGAAAGGCATCCAGCGCCTTCTGTCAAAAGATCTGACGCAGCCCTGCTGTTGTGTGGACCCAGGGGTTAGTCCATTCCATTCCCCACGGACCTTTCACTTTATCATAATATTCCTGATGCAAAGCTCTGCATTTCAAAGTTCAGCTCCTCCGTGCTCTTCCAGGGAAGAAAATGCCCCCAATCCAAAACCGCAGCCCAAGGCAGTGATGGTGCTTTGAGACCATCAGTGAGCAGATCCAGGTTAGGAGCACGTGTGTGTCCTGTGACCTCCTGGGAAGATCCGTCCTCGGCATGGGGAATGAAATAGAAAGGGGGTCCTGGTGTCAGTGCAGGCAATCCCACAGCCATACTTCAAAATGTAAGACAGCAACGGGACTTCCCTGGTGGCACAGTGGCTGAGACTCCGTGCTCCAAATGCAGGGGGCTCGGGTTCGATCCTCGGACAGGGAACTAGATCCCACACGCGTGCCACAACTAAGAAGCCCACATGCTGCAACCAAGACCCAGTGCAACCAAATAAATAATTTTTTAAAAATGTAAGACAGCAAGACGACCTTCCCCTTGCAGCTGCCGGAGGTTGGTGTTTGCATCCTGAACCAAACATCGGCGCCCTCCACCACAGTATTCACTTCACCTTGACCATGTGCCCATTTTGAAGACTCGGCCCCAAGGCCCCGAGAAACTACATATGGAGACTTTGACCGTCCCATCGGCTCACAAACACCACATTTCATGCGCCCGTCAGAACGTAGTCAGGTCCACTGAGAAGAGCACTATATGTCAAGCAGCTGGAGATTCTGCATCCCCCCAGGGGTGGGTGGGCCCCATGAGGGGTTGGGAGGGTCTGGCTGGGGCTGCCCATGGTGCCGGACCCAAGAGCGCTTGTGAGGCAGGTGCAGTTTGCCCGAGACCCTACTTCCTGGTGTCTGCCCTTCTCAGCAATTCCCCAACCACTTTCCAACATGCGGGGACTCTGCTGGGGCCCCATCGTCCTTCTTGATGAACTTGAAGGCGTGCTGGGGGAGCAGCCAGAGGTGCAGACCCTCAAGGCCCCACCCCTGTCAGCAGAATCAATCCCAAGGGCGTGGTCAGTAGCACTGGCTAGTTTCAAATGAACGCCGTGTCTCTCAGGGTGTTTACCTGTTAAAAATACCTACATTTTCTTCTCCAGTATTTGGGGGAAACCAGAGTGTGATTCTGGGTCTGGTGATGGAGTTCACACCGAGGAGGGCCACATCTCGTCACCTCTTCCTCACCTCACTCAATAGCAAAGATACAGGGACTTCCCCGGTGGTCCAGTGGTTAAGACTCCGCACTTCCGATGCAGGGGGCGAGAGTTCGATCCCCAGTCGGGGAACTAAGATCCCACAGGCTGCGCAGAGCAGCCAAAAGAAAAAAAATAGCAGATACAAAACTATCAGCTCTCTCATTTTCACTCCGAAGCCCACCTTCAGAGGGATGTGAGGCCAAAGATGGGGAGGGAGAGAAAGGGTCCACCTGAGGAAAAGGAGTGGTCAGGGCAAAGCAGACCTCTGGCTGGAGCTGTCTCCTGTCCAGACGCCCTCCCCCTTCTGACCGTCCCTGGTGACCGTGGCTGCAGGCATGCCCAAGTCCCATGTCTTCCCTGGAGTCCCCCCAGCCCACCTCCTGTGGCAGGCACTGTCAGCTCTGCCCCTCATCCTCTGCCATCTGTGACTCATCTTTCCATGTTGGTCCAGAGGCCCCAGTGAGATCCGAGGCCCCCTAAGTGGGGCACCTGTGGACGACACCTTGTGTCCCAGCATCTGGCACGCGTGTCCCCGGACCCAGACGGCACGAGTCCCAAGAGGCAGCGGGCCGGTGCTGATGTGTAATTTCCCATCCTGCTCCAGAGTCGAGTCCCCTGAATGCTCTGGGCCTGGCACTGGGCAGCACCGCCCCTGCCCCCGGGGCTGGGAGGCGAGCTCCTTCAGAGTCCCGGCCCAGCCTCAGCGCCTCCCTCGAGAGGTTCTCTGTCACCTCTGGGGCTCCCGGGGGAGGCCTCTGCCCCACACAGCTGTCCTGGCGGCTCCACGTCGGCTCCACCCTCAGCCTCTGCAGGTCACTCTCACCTCTCTGGCCATCTCGGCTCTCCCTCATTCTCTCCGTCTTTTTTGCAGAAAATGTGCTCAGGCTTCCTCTCGAGGTCAACCTCTCCCTCTGACATAGCACAGCGAGGAGAAGGGCCAGCCCCAGCTCCCCTGAGGAAACCCCCAGCCACCCCGCACATAGAGGCCCCCTCCTCAAAGACCCCTCACGCCACGGCCTGGAATGCAGCCCTTGGGTTAATTCACCGAAGCACTGACCTCCCCCAGAGCAAAGGTGGACGTAAGCCCTGCAGTTCTGAGGCCCAAAGGCCGTCTGAGCCCCTGCCCAGAGCAAAGGGGGAGAACTCCAGAGAGCTCTGCTGTTTCCACAGCTGGCCCCTGCTAACCTCCTGTCGATGCCTTTCTCTCCCCAAAATAAATAAAGTAAAATAAAGTGCTGCTTTCCCCTAGCACTCAGCCAAACGGAAAAACGCCAGCTATGGGAAAGAAGGGCCAGCAAGAAAGGAGAAAGAAGGGATAGATGCAGGGCTTCTCCTCTGGGTGCCCAGAGCTGAACACACGCCCTGGCACTCTGGAGAACAGGGTGAACCACATTTAAGCAGAGAACCACATTTAGCACACCAACACTGGGGTGGTCCCAGAGGCCCAGCAACAGAGGAGACTAGGATGGATGGATGGATGGTTAAATAGATAGATAGATAGATAGGTAGGTAGGTAGATAGATAGATGATTGACTAATAGATAGATTTTATAGATAGATATAGATATAGATATAGATATACACACACACAGATGGTCCCCACCTTACAATGGTTCAACTTACAGTTGTTTGACTTTACGATGGTGCAAAAGCAATATGCATTCAGTAGAATTTTGAACACTTGAATTTTGAATTTTCCCAGACTAGTGACATGTGGTCCAATCCTCTCTCTGATGTTGGGCAGATATCAAATGATATTAAATGCATTTTTTACTTAAGATACTTTCAATTTATATGGGTTTATTGGGATGTAACCCCATCCTATGTTGAGGAAGATTTGTACATATCTACATAGTATATACATCTATCTATTATATATATATCTATTATACATAATAGATATTATGTAATCTGTAATATTATAATAGATAGTATATTATAATATAGTACATTATGATAGATATAATATAGTATATTATAAAGATTATAATTATATTATATAATTGAATTACAATTACATATCATATCATAAAGTAATAAATTGTATATATTATTATATTTAGGTAGATTCAGATCATTTCCTAAGAAGTCACTATGGAGGGGTGAATATTTGTGTCCCCCACCAAATTCCTATGTTGAAATCTTGTTGATCAATGAGATGGTGTTTGGAGGTGGGGCTTAGGTCATGCGGGTGGAGCTCTCATGAAAGGGGTTAGTGACCTTATGGAAAAGGCCCCCGAGAGCTCCCTTACCCTCCACCGTGTGAGGACACAGTGAGATGTTAGCACAAAAGAGGGCCCTCACCTAACTGTGCTGGTGCCTGATCTCTGGCACCCTGAGACTTCCAGCCCCCGGAACCGTGAGACACAAATTTCTGTTGTTTATAAGCCACCCAGAGTATTTTATTACAGCAGACTGAAGGGACCAAGACAAGGGATAAGAACTTGGAAGAGACAGAAAGTAGACAGTTGATGTGCCGTGATGTGGGTCATTCGTTCCACTTTCTTTTCATTTCCTATGTGTGCCATAGTGCCCAGAAAATTAAAAGTCGCAAGAAATTAGAGATCGCCTGCAATTCCTAGCCCCTTCTCATCATAATGGTCCTGGTAAAACGGGCTGTAGCTACTGAGCGAGGAAGGAAGAGACGTGGTGTCCAGGCCACCACTGGATGAGGGGGAGAAGCTGCTGGAACAAGTCTCAGAGGTGGGTGTTCACTCTCACGTGCCTTTCTTTCCACCATTCCAGGCCACCATATTGAGGAAAAGCGTCCTGGTGGTGCGCCATGGGGAGAGAGTGGACCAGATCTTCGGGAAGTCCTGGCTGCAGCAGTGTTCCACTCCCGACGGTAGGTGCAGTCCTGGCAGAATCCAGAGGCAGGAATTAGAGCTAACAGATGAGATCACGTCTCAGTTTTCTTAGCCAGAGCCCCTGGGGCACCATTCTTCAGAATGACCATGCATAGACTGTTCATGTGGGATAGACACACGCTCCATCTCTCTCCACAGGCATTACATGTGTGCATGTGAGCGTGTATGCATCTGTAAGTATCTTACCTCAAATGCTTTGGGGAAGATGGAGGAATGGTTTTCAATAGTAAGCAAGTCTGCTGGAGTGACACGTGGACAGCCCTGTGTGTCCTGGCAGCACACACATGGCATTTGGTTAGTGGGTAAGGCACTGCCTTGAAAGCAAGTCACTCTGACTGCAGTCACGAACCCTCAGCTGCTGGCACATACCCCAACTTGCAATCTCACAGCTGCATCTTTCTGAGGTCATCTTCCCTGCGGTGGTCGCTTCCCTACAATGTTTGGCCGTGCTATACTCAACTGAAGGGCATATTTTTTAATGTATTGGGTGCTTACCCCAACTTCACCCCTCTGGATGCCAAGAACTGAGAACAGGGCTTGTAAATACAAAATACCCACAGTCTCTGTACTGATCCACAATTGTATCACACACATCCCCAAATGGAAAGCCCAGAGTGCCAATATTTCTGAGCCATGGATAATTATATAAATGAAAGTATTAAATGAACCTAGTGATAAAATCCATTCACAGTGGCTGGACTTGCTGAGCCCTTGGGGATCCCTCCAGGAGCCCATGAGGCCAAGAAAGGGGGAAGTGAATAGGGGAAGCATTGGCAGATGACCTGAATGCAGAAGAAAATTCCTGAGCAAATGACGTCATGACTACACCTATCTCCAAGAACCCATAGAACTAATGCCATGCCTGTCTCTACAAAACAAGACCAAGTAGAGGCACAAAGGCTCAAGGAAGAAATAGGTGGCTCTGAAGATGCATTGGCATTCAAACAAAGAATTATAAGACACTTCTTGCAATAAAACAATTACTAAAACTACAGACTGAAAAGGCACACATGTCAGTATGTATATGATGGTGGTGGTGGTGTGAGAACCAGACCAGACAACCAACATCAAAAAGAGTGACTGGAAAAAAAAAAAGAGTGACTGGACTTCATAAAAAGAGGGACAAGATTTGGTCATCTACGCAAAAGATCAAGTCACCTCTAAGGGAAAAGGTTTTAAAGGCGCTGGAAATTCCCAGCTTAGAGGCAACTGCTGATGCATCTTCCACCAGGTAAGGAAGCCCTGGTACAGTGCAACGTGACTGTCTACTTGGTCTGAATTCTGCAAGTTGCAGTGTTTGATCAATTACAATGACGGGTATTTGGGGACACTGCTGGCCTCCCCTTGCATTCCGGCATCCCTCCTGGTTTCTGCTCACTTCTGGACGAAGGACCCACACCCTCTATGGCCCCTCACTTCCCAGCGGCGCTGGCCCAGGGCACCCCTATTCGCTCAGACTGTAGTCCAGTCAGAACCCAACCACCCCCCAGGTCCTCGGCTTCTTCTGAGCTCTGCCCTCTGCCTCCCAAAGTGATCACAGATAAAGCATCAGTGAGGGCAAAAGACCTCAGTGGAGTAGTTTCACATTTGGGGATGACAGATGCCCTTGAGAATATGACAGAAGTGACGGACCTTCGCTTTGAATGAAAAACAAATACCAGCTTTCCCTGCGGGCACACCTAACACTGGCATTTAATAAAGGTCTGTAAAGCTTACAGTTCAAACAAAGTCTCTGCCAGTGGAAATTCCAGGGAGGCAGCTTCCAGAAAAATCTTGCATGGAACCTAAAAACACAAGGCATGCAAATAGCCGCCGCCTGCCTCCCCTTGGTGAACTGCTGGGAGGCTGGGGTGGCGTGTTCGGGAGCAAGTGACAGGCCAGCCGTATGACGTATGGCAGGCCTCAGGAGAGGCAGGTTGGCTGCTAGAATCTGTTGTAGCCAGGAGGTTTGGGGGCCGCTTGGGAGGATGAGAGGGCTCGGTGTGGTGTGGCGTGATTATCCATTTATCCGCAGGGATAATTGGATAATGTGAGGATGAGATCAGACCTGACCCTATTGGCCACTACCTCTGAGCCAGGCTCCGGGCTCCAAGCATTATCTTGCTGATTCGTTCAGACAACTCTGTTGTTTCCCGATTTTTATTGATAAAGGAGATTAGTCAGTTGCCTCTACACACACAGAGCTAGTAACTGGTGGTGCCAGGATTTGCACCAGATCATCCAGGCTTCTAGCCCAAAGTCAAACTCAAAGTGAACCAAGGTGCTCTGAGCCTCTGAATGGGTGGTGGTGGTGGGGAGTCCCAGTGGAGCCCCCTGATGTCCAGTCCTGCCTCAAGCAGCTGACTAATAATACACAATGCAGGACCCTCTCCCGCCATCTGTATTCTGTCCCGTAGGCAATGGGACATCTTCAAGCTATGGGGACGGGTTGAGTTTCATCTAATTAATTAATACCAATTTGAGATTCTTATCGAGTTAAGCTAAATCAGTCTCGGTTCTTAATCAGGAAAACTGTATGACTCTTCGGGGGGGGTTTGAGAGGACAAAGAAGGTCTCATGGTTCCTATGGCTGAAACATACGTTTTCTGTGTTTGAGGGAATGGGTGGTGAGAGTAGGACTTCCTCCTGGAATTGAATCCACATCACAGAGCATGCTCAAGAAAGAACACAGTTGACCACAATGTAAATAATTACCATGTTTCAAATGTGGGTCTTGATCTTAAGAGTCTAGTGGGACAAATATGCACTAACTCAGTGGAACTGAGCATCTGGTACTTATTTATGCTTTAGGGAAATACTACCGACCAGACCTGAACTTCCCTCGCAGTCTGCCCAGACGGAGCCAAGGTATCAAAGACTTTGAAAACGATCCACCTTTATCGTCCTGTGGAATTTTCCAGTCCAGAATGGCAGGTATGTTTGAGGATCATTCTAGTAGGAATAGTAACAATAGTTGTGGCAGTGATTATCACTCACGTGTATTGAGTCCTTGCTACGTGCCCTTTGAGGTCAGACTTCCCCTTTATATAAGGGCACCAGTCCTCATAAATTGCTCGTCTTAACTTGATCACCTCTATAAAGACCCTACATTCAAAGAAGGTCACACTGTGAGGCATGGGGTTAGGACTCCGACATATGAATTGAGGGAACAGATATCAGCCCATCACAACATCCACGGAAACCTCACTGGTGTTGGTACCATGCAGATTTTGTACTGAAGAGATCTCCTTCTTTCCCAAAGATCAGGTCCTCTAATTTTGCAAGAAGAAATGTGATTTACAGGCTTGTCCTTCCATGAGCCCCAGGGGGCTTGAGTTTCCATTACTGCAGATGACCATGAACTTGAAACAGCACCCAGTTGATGTTCACAGTTCTGTGGGTCAGAAACATAAACACAGCATGGCTGGGTTCTCTGTTCAGGGTCTGAACTCTGATATCAAGCTGCTGGCTTCCCACCTGGAGCCTCCTGGAAAAAGTTCCACATTCATTGGGCTGGTGGGAGAATTCAGTTCCTTGTGGTTGTAGGACTGAAGTCCTCACTTCCTTGCCTGGTGCCAGCACAGGGCCTGCTGGATTCCTAGAGCCCACCCACCTTCCTTGCAACATGGCCCCCTCCATCTTGGAAACCAACAATAGAGAATTTATTGCATGTCAAATCCCTCTACCTTTGGTTTTTAAAAAAATTTTTATGAAAGTAGAGTTGGTTTACAATATCATATAAGTTTCAGGTATACAGCAAAGTGGTTCAGTTTTAGATAGATAGATAGACAGACAGATAGATAGATAGACGTTCTTTTTCAGATTCCTTTCCCTTATAGGTTATTACAAAATATTGAGTCTACTTCCCTGTGCTATGAAGAAGGAACTTGTTGGTTGTCTATTGTATACATAGTAGTGTGTCTATGTTATCTAACTTCCTTTCTGTGGCCGGCTGGAGAAATCTCTGCTTTTAATGGGCTCACCCGAATGGGTCTGGCCCACCTGTGATCATCTCCCTTCTGCCGTATAACATAACCTGGTCACAGGGGTGCTAGCTCACCGTATTCACAGCTTCCACCTACACACCAGGGGATTATACAGGGTGTGTATACAGGGTGGTGGTGGGGATTCTTGGGGCCGCTTAAGACCCTGTCTGCCACAGGTAGTAAGCCACCTGTTGGAGTTGCCACCATGGGTAGCTACAGTTATGAAGAGGGCACTTCCCCACCTGCTGTCTTCCAGGGGAAGCTCTGCTCGACAGTGGCATCAGGATCACCTCCGTCTTCACCTCCCCAGCCCTCCGCTGTGTGCAGACAGCCAAACACATCCTGGAAGGTCAGTGAGAACTGTAGCTATAGCTTCTCATGTGGACTCGACCTCATGACTCTTCTCCTGGGGCAGATGACAGTGAACAGAGGTGAGACTGGGGTGGGTGACCACGAATGGCCACACAAAGTCACAAGACAGCTGTGAACCAGCCCTTGAGAACTGTTAGGAGGCACTGAGCCAGTTAGCGTTTCTGGAAGGTCAGGATTGTAATTCGCCTTTGGCCTGCTTCTGCCATGTGTTTTTTTTTTTTTTTTTTGCGGTACGCGGGCCTCTCCCTGTTGTGGCCTCTCCCGTTGCGGAGCACAGGCTCCGGACGCGCAGGCTCAGCGGCCATGGCTCACGGGCCCAGCCGCTCCGCGGCATGCGGCATCCTCCCGGACCGGGGCACGAACCCGCGTCCCCTGCATCGGCAGGCGGACTCTCAACCACTGCGCCACCAGGGAAGCCCCTGCCATGTGTTTTTTTTTTTTTTTGCGGTACGCGGGCCTCTCCCTGTTGTGGCCTCTCCCGTTGCGGAGCACAGGCTCCGGACGCGCAGGCTCAGCGGCCATGGCTCACGGGCCCAGCCGCTCCGCGGCATGCGGCATCCTCCCGGACCGGGGCACGAACCCGCGTCCCCTGCATCGGCAGGCGGACTCTCAACCACTGCGCCACCAGGGAAGCCCCTGCCATGTGTTTTTTTTTTTTTTTGCGGTACGCGGGCCTCTCCCTGTTGTGGCCTCTCCCGTTGCGGAGCACAGGCTCCGGACGCGCAGGCTCAGCGGCCATGGCTCACGGGCCCAGCCGCTCCGCGGCATGCGGCATCCTCCCGGACCGGGGCACGAACCCGCGTCCCCTGCATCGGCAGGCGGACTCTCAACCACTGCGCCACCAGGGAAGCCCCTGCCATGTGTTTTTTTAAAAGCTGGGGGCGAGGATGTTCCCAGAGAGCTGAGAACTGCTGTGGTCCCTTCTCAAGTCCAAAATGCAAGACGCCCTGGGCAAGGGAATCGGGAGCTGTTCAGCACCATCAAAAGTTGCTGTGGGATGGGAAGCCAGTGGCAGACCCTTCTGAGCGAGCGTCCACCTACAGGAAGAAGCAACTTCCTGCCAGAGATGGGCAGCCTGCCCTGGAGGTCCTGGTTCCGCCCCCCCAGTGTGTGGAAGGGGACACAAGACCTAGGTCGCCATGCACACACGGCCGGTCCTCCACAGTGATGGGACTGAGGGCAGAGCGTGTGGACACAGGTGCAGCAGGTGGGCACATGTGGAGGAGGGGGGTTGCCTCTGCTTTCTCAGAGACACAGGAAGTCAGGTCGCCAGGTGAGCGTGAGAAAGGGGAGCGCTGAATGTGTGACATGCTTATTGGGGAGGGGGGCCAGGACAGGGATGGGGACGTACAAGGTGACCACTAGGCAGCACAAAGGCCACTTGAGGTTATGGGCACGGCCTTACACGGAGACCCATCAGCTGGGCTGGGGCCGCCCCCAGGCGTGGGCCAGGAGGAGCGGAAGGAACTGGGGCTATAACCCCGGATGGGTTTGAGAAGTAAGTACGATGAAGCAAGAAAGGGTGCGCGGTGCACAGGGAAGGGCCGTGGAGATTGAGTGGAGATTTTAAGCTGTGTAAGGTAGGGAGTTAGGGGCTGGGGGAGGCCAATGATACCAAGAAAAGAGTCAGCTCCATGGAGTGAAATCCCGGGAGGTGGCTGGAGGGTTGGAATCAGACACGAGGGACAGGAGGCTACAGAGAAAGGAAGCCTGGCTGGAGATAGAGAAGGGGATGGCACTGAGCTTAGAGGGGGTTGCAGCTGCTGGGAATGACCTACTAAGTCAAGATCAGGGAGGAAGGACATCAGTAGAGGAAGGGGACAAAGGGGAAAGAGGTTACCGCTGGACAAGCCGTCTTGCAGATAACGGCATCGTGCCTGGAGCGGTGTCAGAAAGGGGGCAGCAAGCAGACCTTCACAGGAGGAGCTGTTGAAACGATGGCGGGTCCGCCAGCCCGAGCCCCTCCCCAGTATCTCCTCCACGTCGATCAGAGAAGCTCTGACAAAGTGCCTTCCCGATTCTGCCACGCAGCTGGGAATCCCTCCCAGGGATGGACCTGATCCTTGCACAGGACCTGTGTGGGCCCGTGGCCAGTCCAGTCCTTTCCTACCTTCTCATTAACGTGCTGTTTCTTGATCCACTCGCTAAGTTGTGAGGGTAGAAACCCATTTCATCACCGTCCACTTTCCACACATTTAAAACTCGTAGGCCGTCTCTGTGCATCGTCAGCCCTGCAGACGTCCCCTCCGTTTGTCATTTCTCATCCGAGCATGACAGGGGACCCTGGACTCCCCTGCACGGTTTCTCGGGTCCCTGAGACGGAGAAACGCTCATGGTTTCCCCCGCTGTTGAGATGTGCACGTTCATTGCTTTGCTTCCCTGCAGCTCTGGGCTCTGGACCCATGGAGCCGAGGGCAGGTTAAAGCACGTCAGCTGCTAAACAAACCCGGGAGGGGCCCAGGACCCCACCGTGTTTGCTCTGTTTCCATTTGATAACTCTTAATAAATAGGACAGAAGAAAGCAAAATAGATATGAAGTCATTTTATCCCCGGATAGCTTAGGATCAATATATGTGTAATTAATTCAACAACTATAGAGATCAGATGTGAAGAAAGTAAGAAACACACACAAATACAGGATAAAAGGTGACAGGCTCATCCCTGATTCTCCTATGCCCCCCACCCGCCTTTAAACCCGCCATTTAATGGAGCTTATTTTGTTTTAACCCATCCGAGAGGCTGATACTTTTCCACTAACCTAAAAAAGCACTTGAATTTCCATCTGAGGCTGGCAGCCCACAGGTGAGCGGGGCTGACACCTGCACACTGCCTGTGTCCAGCCAGGCCAGCACGCGGATATCTCTGACTGTGAATTCCTCCGAGTCTCCAGGCCCTTTCCTAATGATGCTCTCAGGCTCCCTTTCCGCAGCCAGCCTCCCAGCCATTGCCACAACATATGAAAAAAAAGATAAGGAATATTCTTTTGGCCTTAAACGAATATAACTGAGAGCTTCAAAAACATTTTTCGTAACTTTATCCCCTTTTGGTTATCATTCATGTTTCCTCATTATGAACGTATCTGTTCCAATTTCTCTGACTTCTATTATGTGCATCTCTTGCATTTAAAATAAAAGCTCCCCAAAATGTTTTCTGACCACGATCATGTCAACGTCTTTAACATGATCTCTCATTGACTTTTACTCTATATGCAGGTGAGGAGAGGACGACAAAGTCAGTTAAAAGAGCATAAATCCATAAATCCTGTGTTAATCCAGAAAGCAGGATGCCCGGCCTCCTTCATATGTCCTCGAACATGACCATCCTGCTCTCCAGAATGCTAAGCTTTATCTCACCACCATGTCAGTGAATGTGTCCAGACGGACCATTTCCCAAAGTGTGACCCACAGAACAGGAAGAGGGCCCAACGCCATTTGGGACACTCTCCAGACTCCTTTTTTTTTAATTTTGTAGAGTATCATTTTTCTTGTTTCAATTTATTTTTTATTGAAGAATTGTTGAATTACAATGTTGTGTTAATTTCTGCTGTACAGCAAAGTGACTCAGTTATATGCATATGTATTCTTTTTCATATTCTTTTCCATGATGGTTTATCACAGGTTATTGAATGTAGTTCCCCGCGCTCTCCAGTAGGACCTTGTTGTTTATCCAGCCTATATATAATAGTTGGCATCTGCTAATCCCAAACTCCCAATCCTTCCCTCTCCAAACTCTTTCTTCATGTCACCTATTCCCGGTGGACACGAGCCCCTCACAGGCTGCGGGAGAGCCCAGGAGCCCCATCAACCAGGCTTAACTCTCTTTTCTAAATGTGCTTTGCAAAGGAACCCATTTCATGGGCCTGAAATACATTTTGGAAATGGATTTTATTGCCAGCATTTCCGTTTAATGTCATTTTCTCCATTTCGAATAAAAACATTAAGGTCTTGTTTTTCCCCCACTCAGAGGTGGTCTTAGTTTATAGGTCTCTTACTGAAGGTATAAAAAAAAAATGTCAGCTTATGGAATGTGCTTTTCTGTAGCAAACATATGTACTATTTTTGGCAAAAAAGACAAAGTATCCTTAGATGCAAATGTGATTATATGAAGTTTTGTCCAAAACAACTTGACCAGTTAGATTTTACTGAATTCATGACTTCCATTTCCAGTTTTTTTTAATTTACAATAGCAAGAGGAGGTTTTTTCTCATTAAAAAAAAAAAAATCCTAGGGAAGGGTGAGTTGTGAGAGATTCCAGAAGGTGACTCCCATCCACCTTCCAATTCAGCTCAGTCTGGGGTAAGTGTTTACCAGGATGGCGCTTCCGTGTGATTAACAAGCTCCACGATTGCCCTCGTCTTTTCCTCAGACCATTGGACCAGCCAAGTCCTCATAGGTGCAGGCTCCTTCTTGACCCAAGCAGGAGCCCGGGTGCCGCGTGCTATGGGGCTGCATCGGGTGACCAGGATGAGCACCAGGGAGGCTGCTGCCAGTGGCACCTCCCAGATCCCAAGACACTCTGGCCCTTCCTGATGAACAGAGGGTCATCACTCCTCTCACACCCTCCAACTGCTCGTGGCTTTTATCTGAGAAATAGTGTAAAGTCAGATTTTTTTCCAAAGTTTTGATTTAGACCTAGGAAGAGACTTATTTACAGAAAGCCAAAATAGTCACCGAAGATGATAAACACTTGTTTTCTGTTGAATCCAGAGCTCAAACTGGAGAAGAAAATTAAGATAAGAGTGGAGCCCGGAATCTTTGAATGGACCCAATGGGAGGCTGGCAAAACCACCCCAACCCTCATGACCCTGGAAGAGCTGAAAGAGGCCAACTTCAACGTCAGCATGGATTATAGGTGAGCCGCCTCACGTCGTCTGCTGCTGGGGTTTTCTCGTTCTTGTTAAAGAAAAATTACTCACGACACTTGGTAAAGATAACAAGGAAGGCTTTATTCAAGAGGGACCACTGCAGTGGGGGGTTGCAGAACCGGAGGAAGATCAGATTCCCCTCCGAATATAAGGCCAAGTGGGGATTCTTCCTCCCAGGAGCAGGATGGGGCGATGGGAGATTCTTAAGAGAACAGGGTGGGGCTTCCCTGGTGGCGCAGTGGTTGAGAGTCCGCCTGCCGATGCAGGGGACGCGGGTTCGTGCCCCGGTCCGGGAAGA